TTTTATAATTCATCTTCAGGCAATTTAATATTAATTCAAATAAAACATAACAATAAACTGTCAGATGACGTAATAAGAGTTGAGCGCGAAAGTAACGTAACGATTAAAGTTAAATAACGTAAGTAGTTAAATTAAGTATAATAAACAATTATTTTGTAATATAACATAATAAAATATATTATATGTGCAATATAATAATATAATTATATGTAATAATAATAATAATAAATTAAACATTTCGTGATGAAGGTAAAATAAAATTGGAATAAATTTGTTTGTTCAAATTAGGTTTATAAATATTAATAAATAGGGATTCTAAAATTTGTAGTCTGTTAAAATTAGTGTCTTTCATTAATATTTTAGTATTATCTTCTAATATTTTGCGGGATAATTGCTGGTTGTGGCAGTCATGGTAGTGTTGATTTGGAACTCCGATGTTCAAATGGCAGGTTAAACGTCTTGTCAGTTTTGTGGTAGTCATTCCAATATAAGAAGATGGACGAAGCCTACAGTCTTCGTGAGGACATAGAAATTGGTAGATGACGTGGGAGTGCTGTGTTGTTGCTAGTTTAACGTTGGGACTATTTTTTATTAGTAGTTGTTGCGACTTAAAATTTTTATAATAAATAAGAAGGTTTATTTTTTCATTAGAATCAACTGGATGGACTCCTTTTTTAATGATTTTTCTAATTATTTCTAATAACAGTTTATTGTTATGTTTTATTTGAATTAATATTAAATTGCCTGAAGATGAATTATAAAATTCGAAACGTCGCTTAATAAATAATTATATAATGAATATTGGTGTTCTAATTTTTAATTTAAATTATAATTATAAAAAACTAATAAGAAAAATAGAAAATCTTAATAAAAAATTAAATAACAATAATATGAGCATCGCGTTTAATGAAATATATATATATATATATATATATATATATATATATACTGTGCCTCTATTCTACGTTGTTGATTCCTTGTTTGTTTAAAGTGAATAGTTAGTTTTACAATTTTACAACAACGTTAAATATAACACTGTTTTCATTATCGATAAATATAACACTTTTATGTGTTTTCATTATCGATAAATATAACACTAAGTGTTTTCAATATCGATGATTCCTCTGTTTCTAAATTTATTGGTAGGAAGAATTCCGATTGCCCGTTGTCAAATATTTATTATCGGACGTCTTTGTTCTATGAGTATTGATTCGGCTAGTCGTACATTATAATTGTTGTTATTGTAATGTAAGATTCCAATATTGTAGTCCAAGATTTGTCTAGTAATTTTAGGTTTGTGTTTCTCTTTCATGGGTTTCTTTACATTGCCAGTTTTACGTGCATCGTGAGTCTTTTCGATAACTTGGTCGCCGTCATACCAATATATTCAGAATTATGGTGCCACTAATATTACATTTGAACTAATAAATTAGATGGCTATGATCCATTATCGATTCTGGTTAACTAGTGCAGTTGTTTTTCATCACAAGAGATGACGTTCTTTGGTTTGAGTAGTATATTAGTAGTTTAATACTATCGTTTTCGTTTATTGCTTGGACGATATTTTTTATGATACTTTTTATAATTTTTTAATCTTGTTCGAAAGCGGTTGACATGTGATTCTTATAATATAAATATATTACTATGATCGCATGCTAATTAAAGGCAATAAATTCGTAATCTATATTGTTACATTGGCATGATTTAGATAAAGGAGATTTTGCTACAAGCGTTGAAAAGTCGTCTTCGTTTATATGTTGTCCTGACCTGGTTCATTTACTTTTTGTCTTGTAACAAACCTGTTTTATTGGTATTTGAACTTGAATCAAACTGTGATCCGAGTAAGTGCCACTGAGAAAAATTTTAACGTCTGCAATTGAAAAATCTTGTGAACTGACAATTAGGTTAAGTATACCACCAAGGATATGGGTTGACTTTTATATGGTTAGTCAATTGAAACATTTTCAAAAACTTTAAACAGACGAATAGTATTCTGATCATCAAATCTTTCAACATTGACATTAAAATCGCTCACTACCAATATATTTAAATTTAAAACAGAAATATTTTCTAAAGTATTTATAGGTTCTTTAAAAAATAAAATGCTAACCAATACAGAACCAGGCCTATGCACCGCCAACAAAATGAAATCATTATTATTTATTGTAAGTTTGAGCGCAACAGCTTCAAATGTAGACAATGAAGGCAGACTTATTTTTTTGAATTTTAATTGGGACGTAAAAAAATACAATCACACCACCATGTAAAGGATCATGCATTCTTAAATAATCGACATAAAGCCAGAAGGCATTGACAATTTAATTGAAATATTATCAGACGACCCATCCAAGATTAATTCATGAACCATATCAAATTTAGAATCAATTGACCTAATATTTAGTAATACAACCAAAACTTTCAACTCTACCTTATCATTTGACCTATTTAACCTCGTTCAAATTTTTACTTTGACAATTTATTAAGTTTTTATTTCTGGAAAAAAAATTATTATCTTCCACCTTCCTACTGGACCCACAACTTTGAACAAAATACCTTCATCAGAAGCTTTCTTTGTTTTTGACTCATTAACTGGAGCTTTGTGCTCTGTTCTTTAGTCAATGGTCAAATCCTGACTGATTCCAATATACTTGAATTCTTCATCAATCGACTTCGTTTTATAGATGTTCCACATAATATTGTCTTTGGCCATCAAATTTTCAAATTTAACTAATATCAGCCGAACAGAATTTTCTTCTTTTTTTCCTAGTCTCGTGATTCTAACAATGTCCTTCTCAGTTACTTTGTCTGATAAATTTTTAAATATCTTCACAATGTTTGAACGACAAACAAAAAGCTATTAAGTTCAATTCTCTTTCTTTAAGTTCGGTTACATTATTCAAAGTTTTTTGAATTGCTTTAACTTTATTATTAATAACATCGACATTGTTTTCAACTTCTCTTTTTACGATGTCAGCCATTTCAACTTCTAAATTTGTAATTTCTTTACATAATGACGTGTCGCTATCATTTGCATCAATAACCATTTTAATGTTTTTCCTTTCTTGCTGAATTTCAAGGTTTAACTCGTTTAATTTTTTAAATTTCGATAACATCTGGCAATGAACAGTCTCAATAATTCAGGATGTTTTTTTAAAGTCTAAATCTTCTAATTCAATTGCAGTTTTGACGCAACTCTCACAAAACCATTTGAGATGAACATTCGTTTTGAGCGATTCACATGTACTATCACATAGAGAAACGTAATCGGCGTGATACAAACTTTCACACCGGTTAACAGCTTACAAACTTTTTATTTTTAACACTTTTTGGTCACTTTACACATTTATCTCGGCCAGCCATGCTGCTTAAACAATATTATAATTAGCAACTAACCGCAACTCAACAAACAAACCGCAAACTTTAATTCAAACTTAACAAAAATCAAAATTTAGAACTGAATTATACAGATTTGTGTTAAACTAATTTTATTTAATCAATTTTTCTAAATTTTAACAACAATTTATCAAAATTAACGGAGAAATCTGACATTTAATCGCAGCAAAAAATATCCAATCTTTAAAGCCAACAGCCCAAAGTATATATTATATATATACATATATTATATATATATATAAATATTATACATATTCACTCAAAATAAAGTATGGTTGTCAGCTGTGCAGTTATAAATCTCAGAAAATGCCCTCCTGACACAGGCTCTGCTCCTAAAGTCCAGCTGCTGGCATCCTCGTTGCTCCTCATGGGTAATGCTTATCAAACTGCCTAGGAGAAGGTAAACTCTGATTTCAAAACCCGGAGAAGGTTTTGAAATCAATAACAAAACTCGAGAGGATGGAGCTCGAAGCTAGGGATAGCTCATCGTCTAGCAGAAAGAAAACTCTGATCGCAAACCGGCGTTGAGAACTCGCGTCAGGTGGCATTCATCCGGTTGGCCTCTGCATTTGCAGTCTTTTCTAGTTGTCTTGGAGACTGCCCATGCCATTAGGTTTAGATGGTTGCAACAGTTTTGTGGACCGAAGGCTTTCGCGATTTCCTTCCACGTTAAAATTCTCCTGCGTCTGTTTTCCGCGCTATTACCGGTGACAGAAAACCTTTTACAGACTGCGGTGATAGTTACACAGGTGACGAAGGTAGATTCAAAATAGAATTGGAAGTCCCTAGTCTGAGTGCTGCACGTAGGCGGTTCTGGAGTGATGGTCGCTGACACTCTGAAAAAGGAATGACAAATCTCTTCGGCAGCTTCCAGGGTGACTGAACAGCTCTATTTAGTGCTCACCCTGCTCACCTCAAACAACGAGGGGCCTAGAAAAGGTTGCCTAAAAATTGCTCGTTCTCAACCTTTCCCAAAATGGTAACCGCGCTCATTGGGTGTCTTCCTAAGCGGTCAAAAACAAAAATTGACCCATAAACCTATTCGATTTGCGACTGGAAACGTTTAAACGCTTTTGGTCCGAACTATTACCGAACGACCTGCGCGGCGCACCGCTCTTTTTGCCCTCAAGCTAGGCAGATATCAAATCGACATTGCTGCACTGTCTGAAACCGTCTGCCGGACAAAAGATCTCTGGTTAAAGTGGGGGCAGTATACACATTTTTTTGAAGGGGTTCATCAGGCGATAATTTTCGGATTCATGGTTTAGTTTTGCTGTCTGTACAAACTTACTCAAAAATATTACTGAGACCCTAGTCGGGGTTAGCGAAAGACTTATGTTCATGCGCATTCCGCTTGCAAAAAATCGTCACATGACCAAAATAAGTGCTTATGCCCCAACTATTGACGCAAAAAATTTGGTGAAAGATATGTTCTACGAATGCCTTCGTACCAACCTTCAGAGAATACATAAAAATGACAAAATTATAGTTATTGGCGATTTTAACGCAAGAGTTGGAACAGATTTCAGTGTCTGGACTGGCATCATTGGCAGATATGGTCTGGGAAACGCAAACAGTAACGGAATCAGACTCCTCAATCCGAAATTCAAATAAGTCATTATCAACACCCTTTTCTAGCAGCGTAATCAAAGAAAGGCTACCTGGATGCATCCACAGTCCAAGCATTAGCATTTTTTGGGCTATATCATAACCAGACAACCCGATGTTGCCGACGTCAATCATACGCAAGTTATGAGAGGCGCAGAGTGTTGGACTGATCATCATCTTGTCGTATTAAAATTTGCAATTAAACTTACCCCACCAACTCGTAGACAGGGTCCACGTAAAAAGCTGAACATTAGTGCTTGCTAAAATCTGATAGTGCAAGAATTCCAAGCATACACAACAAACTAAGCTGTCCAATGTATCTCAGCAACCTACTGGTGTATCTTCAGTGACCGATGAATGGTCATTAATCAACTCTTGCATACCGTCAACAACTACTACTGTTCTTGGGTTTTCCGCAAGGACTGGTCTTTTGAGAATCAACCTGGCATTTTTGATCTTTTGCAAACAAAGAACAAAGCCCATAAAAATAGGCTCAGCAACCCAGACTCACCCAGTCTTAATCTTGCATAAAAACTATCACGTACAAAGGTTTGACAAGTGCTGCGCTGCATGGAAAACGATTGGTGGACGGAAAAAGATAGGAAACTTCAGAGATTAGCGGATACAAAAAATACGCAACGATTTTATAACTCTCTCAAGTCTATCTATAGACCGGCCCAGCACTCTGTTCTTCAAATTAAGTCAAAAGATAGTCTTGCAGTGATCAGAGACCTTGAGAGAATCGTGTCACGCTGAACCGGGCACTTTAGTGATTTGTTGAACAGCGTCAACGCGGTGGACCCGACATTTATAAAAGCCCTTTTAAAATTCCCGGCTGTTGTTGAGCTTGATAGCCCTCCTGCACTTGAGGAGGTTTTGTCAGTCACCAAGGTAATGAAAAATAACAAAACGGTAGGACCAGACGGCATTCCCGCAAAGATATACAAATATGGTGGTCTTCAAATAGGTCAGCGGCCGCATACTTTCATTCTTCGAGTGTGGACCACTGGCATAATACCATAGCAATAGAAGGATGCAAACATCGTTACCATTTCAAAAAGAAGGACGATAGACAATCGTGTGGTAACTGCCGTGGCATTTCCTTGCTCTCCATCGCTGGCAAGATTTTGGCGCATGTCATGTTGAAACGATTTCAAAAACACATTGTTGATGTTGTCATTCCAGAAACGTAATGTGGCTTCCGAAGCGGTCGTAGCACCACCGATATGATTTTTGCTGTACGCCTCCTGATGGAAAAGTGCCGTGAACAGAACCTGGATTTTTTCCTGACTTTCATCGACCTGACGAAGGCTTTTGACACGGTCAACAGAGACTTGTTGTGGATGATCCTGGGTAGATTTGGCTCTCGCCAAAATTTCTTCCGGTACTGCGTGAATTTCATACAGGTATGAGAGGTAAAGTGATTGTTGATGGCAAAGTATCTAAACCGTTCAATGTTTTTGTGGAAGTAAAACAGGGCTGAGTATTGGCATCTGTGATTTTTAATCTGTTCCTCACTGCCGCAGTTCTTATCTATCGCGATCGTTTTCCGTCTGACGCAGGCATCCCGTTTTGTTTCCATCTCGACGGCAGCCTTTTTAACATAGAACGACTCAAGGCGATAAGATTTTTGAATTCCAATACGCTGACGACACTGCCATTCCTGCCAACACCATCTCCGCTCTCCAAAATAGTTTTAATGTCTTGTCGTGTGCCTATAGTCGTGCAGAACTCGTTATCAACATTGCAAAAACCGAAGTACTCTCCCTCGCTAAAAATCAAAACATACCAGCTAACCTTTCGTAGTTCATGGAAATGCTCTCAATGATTCGCATGACTTCATGTATCTTGGTAGTATACTCAGTACTGACTGCTGTCTGGATCGTGGAATTGAGCATCGTATTAGGGTGGCGTCGGTTGCATTTGGCAGACTGAGGAGTCACGTCTATTTGAATCACAACCTTACCGTGGTAAAAACGATTGCTGTGTGCAAAGTTGTTTGCATTTCTGCACTGCTTTACGGTTGTGAATCCTGGACTCCTTATCGTCGACGCATCAAAATTCTCGAGGCCTTTCATGTTCGCTGTCTTCGCAGCATTCTTGGAATAAGATGGTGACACAAAATACCTCTCCTAGATATGTTTAAGACTGCATGTACTACACCGGCCGAATATCTATTGTTATAACAACAGCTGCGCTGGATAGGTCATGTTATACGTATGGCGGAGTCTCGTCTATCTCGTAGATACAGTGAACTCTCAAACGGCTGTCGTTCAGTTGGTCGGCCAAAGAAGCGATTCGTAGATCAAGTAAAAAGCGTCTTTCAGAAATGTAACATCAACTAGACAGGACTTGAAAAAATAGCAAAAGATCCGTCTACATGAAAGAAGATTTGTAAAGCCGGACTCACAAGTTTTATGTTGAAATGGACAAATGCCTCTTACAGGCGTTGACTTATACGTCATGCAGCAACATCAAGAGAATTGAAACCAACTGGTTCTTCATGCCCCCATTGTGGTAAACTATGCGCATCAGATTTTAGATTAAGATGTCATCTACGATCTCATAGAAAGTCGAATGTCACTTAATATCGACGCAACGTCCTCGCCGTCTTGGTGGACAACACAACTACAACTATTCATTTGTATATATATTATCACTTATATAAATATTATATATATATATATACATATATATAAATGACAATATGTAATAAACTCTACCGGTTAATTAGTGTTTTTCAACTAATATTCGAACTTTCTAATTTGTCTTAGTAAATGTTCATCAACAGAATAAAGTCTGTTCAAAATTGAAACTTTTTTATATTAACAGACATTTTATTAACAATATAGCAGATAGATATTTTCTTACGTTATACCATCATCGCTAGTGCATTATTTATTTATTTAGAATTATTATAGTTTTAATATAATTTAATATAATATCTCTAATGAATAGATAAATTTAATTTTCAGAAATTTTGAAAAAATTATATGAAAATGGAGAAAAATATTTTGCAAATTTCAATGAAAACAAAAGTTGTCTGATGGTGAGACGGTAAAGTACCAGAAATGAAGACAAACTTGCTAATTACTGATTAACGTTTAAACCACAAAATTTAAAATATTCAGTTTCAAAAAAAGTAGAGTTGATTTTATTTTCGTCAACATTATTAAATGATATAAAAATTAACTTCAATCTTACGGTGACAATTTATCTAAGTTTAAACTCATATTTTTTCAAAATGATTCCAAAATAACTAATTTATTAAAATACTAAATTAAAGCTTATTTGTTAAATAGTATCTGATTGAAAAAAATACCATAACAAGGGATATGGCGGATATAGCCAAAACTGAGCTGACTCACCGTAAAATTGGTTTAAACAAACATACAACTCAAACAAAATTCATATTAATTTTGCCATTAAAACCCAATGATAAGTTAATTATCAGCACAACTGCTTTTTTAGTTAGTTAAAAAGCAAAATAAAACTTTAAATTAAACCATTTTATTTTGATTTGTTTTTTTAGTAATTAAATTTTTTATTGCTGTTATTAACTGAATTTATACGCTTTAAATTGAAGAGCACAGTAATGTTGCTAAAATTTAATAATTTGTTAAAGCACATACTGCATTTGTGTAGCTATTCTGAGAAAATTGTAGTTCCGTCGGGACGCCAAGATTGTAATTTGGATCGTCTATTTTCTTCTTTGATTTCTTACTTCTTATTAAAGCCAAGCCCGTTACAAATGGCTATAACAAATAGTTAAATATAAATTAAATTATACATATATTTTATATGTGCACAAATATCTATACCGTTTATACATTTTATATAGTCTACATATAATATATATATATATACACTATATTTTATACAATATTGTATGAATTCAACCGAATTGTTGGCACAAATCAATTTAAAGTTTGTTCAATTTATAGAAAATAAAATTATTATCCAAGTTCATCGTAAAAATTTAATCAAACTGTTGTTATCCAAATTCATCATGCAGATAAGGCTTTATTTCAATTTTTCACAAATCATCTTTAGAGCAGGTTTGGTTAATATGGTTTCTTTAAACAAGGCCAAGTTTGTTCTTTAGCAGAGTGAGTTGCTTAGTTGGTGTCGTATTCTTCATCTTTGTTGTCATTTCTTCGTTCGTTATTGAAGCTAGTTGGTAATGATGAAATGATGATTATTTGGGGTTTATTGATATCTACAAGGACAACTTCAGCAATTTTTAGATGTACTGTGTTGGTGTTTTGAAGTTATAGTTATTTGTAAAGGACATGGCCTAAAATACCAAACCTGCATTGATTGCCTTATCAGCATGATGAATTTGGATAACAACTGTTTGATTCAATTTTTATGATGAACTTGGAAAACAATTCTATTTTTAAAAAATTGGACAATTTCCAGAAAATTTGAAAATTCTAGTAAGGAAAATCGAAAATACAAACTTTAAATTAATTCGGTAGAATACATACAATATTGTTTATATCAATCAAATTAAATCAAATTTTGTATTTATATAGCGCCAATTATAATTGGTTCCCATCAGCTCTCTCCTCGTATAAAGCATGTTGAAAACAAAGCTATCATCGGTGGAGATCAGTAGGAGATACCAAATAAGTATGTCTTTTTTTTTCAATTTTTCAAATTTTTTTTAATAAACGTCAATAGTAAGCACATCGCCAACCAAAGAAAACTATGCTGAGTCTCTGCTAATAAATTTTAATTGTGAAAGTTTGTGGTTTATGTGATTGAATTAATGGTGAAGTAATGATTGTAAAGGTAATTATGATGGTATAATGAATTTCTGGCGGTTAGTACCAAGCACTGCAATGACTTTAGATTTTACAAATTAAAAAAGTTGGTCATTACCTTTAATTACTACTGTTTAAAATTTATATAATAAATGCCTCATTTATAATATAACCAAGTTACACAATTCGGTAAAAAACAAATCAAGCGAAACGTTTTCGTGCAAAAAATTCATCAGACGAATCTTCCATTGTTCGAGTGAATCATCGTTTGGGCAAATCATTGTTCGAGCGAATGCTCCTGTATTCATTGAAGCATGCGTCGGCGAGTTAGTTTTGTTTGTGGATAAGCTTATTCGAGTCGTTAGAAATGCTCTTTCTACGCAATGGTCTAACTCAAGCATTGTCTGTCCGATAAACTAAAAGGCTACCATCTTTACATGCGCTTTTTATGCTGCTCTTGCGTCCGCATACGTAGCGAGTACGCACGTCATGTGGTGTAGTAAATAATGCTTAACAAACGTAATGAATGTAGTAAAGTTACGTAACTTACAAAAAATATATACAAATAAAAATAAAATACTGAAACTTTTTGGATATATTTGCGAATTTCCAGATGACAAGCTTATTAAAGAAGACTAATCAAAAGAGAACTAGAAAAGAAAAGTCGGAAGGTATGTTATAAATGGTTAACATCACAAAATTAACAAAATGGGAACGTTGAATTTAATTAAAAACGACCAAAATACAAAAAAAGAGTTTAGAAATGGTAAAAAAAACTGTATGTATCTAATTGATTTCAATGATTCATTTAAAATAAAGATATATTGATTATTTTAGTAGTTATACAATTTTATAAATTGTATGATTGGAGTTAAAAATCAATAAAATTGAAGTTTCAAGATAATTACCGGTATAGCTGCCCACATTCCAGCGCTAATCCATATCCATGTTAAAATAAGCATAGAGGGTGAACTTGGACCTAAAGTCGATGAAAAATAATTTGCTGGGGTAGAGTTAAGACAACCCCAGGAATTTGATGCAAGAGACAATGAAGAGTAAATAATATTTACAATTCCTAGTACACAAATGAAGCAAGCAATTACGGTTATGAACAATCCCAGCGTTCGGCCTAAATTATTCGAGTTTTTTTCTGGATCTTTGTTAAAAAAAAAAAACAAAAAAATTAAAATGTAGTTAAAATTCTATTTAAATATATTCTGTTTTGAATTTATGATGTTATTATAAACACTTTTAATATTCAGCTAAGAGATTTAACGTTTCAGTAATTGCACCATTATTGATATTGCTGTGCTTTGACCTAGCGTAGGTGTTAGGCATGTCTGCTTGCTAAATTTGGAAACGCCTTTGAACACCAACGAAACTGCACCATAAAGGTAAATTTAACTGAAAGTGATTATTGAATAGATAACTTTAAAGTTAACATGATGTTGAAATTTGCAATGTTTCGTTAGAAATTTAATATAAATATTTTTTATTCTAACTCACAGTTATTAAAGTTTCCAGTTGCGGGATAAGGATCTATGTTTTTTACGGTTTTCATTGAGCCGTACGATTCATTTTTTTTAGACAATTTTATATCAGTGCTGTTTCTGGTAAGCAAAAACATAGGATCTTGCCCAGTTTTTTCTTCAGGAAAAAACATTGGTCCTTGTGTAGGAAATTGCATTTCTGTTTTTAGATAATTCTTTATCAGTTTATCTGTAACTGTTTTTAACTATATATTAACTTTAGTCCATGTATCTAAAACTAGAATTTTGTTTTAATATAACAAACGTGTTAAGATAATCAAGATATATATATATATATATATATATATATATATATATATATATATATATATATGTATATGTATATATATATATGTATTTCAAAAATTCAACACTACTTTCAACATTGTTCACTTTTTAAAATTTCTTTTTAGTTTATTAATGTCAGAAAAATTAGACATTTTATTGTTTTAAAAATTTTATTAAATAAATTTGAAGAAAGATAGCTATATATATATATATATATATATATATATATATAAAATACGCACGCAAAATCGTAATTAGCGAATTATTATGGTATTTAACTAAAAATCTTGAAAAGTTGAAAAACGAAAAGTTTAGAAATATTGTAGCAGATCTTTATACCTCCGCTGAACTTCAGAATGGCCTCAAAGTTCTACAGGGAAAATTAGATAGTTTGAAAAAGGAAAAAATTAAATTTGCAACACGTGAATATACTAAACTGGATAAGTTAAGTGTTTTTTTTAATTATTTTCAATTATAAATACTGACAATTTGGGACGTTTGTTACCAGTATTCAGCATTCTGAACATTGAGCAAATTCCGAATGAAACACTTACAAACATTTCCCCGAATTTAAATAATAAAATTGACAGAATTGAAAATTTGGTCAATGAAAATATTGTGTTAAATAAACAGTGTTTGCATAAGCTGAATACATTCAACACCAAAGAAAATATTGTTAAAATTAACGCTGCACAATCATCTACGAATTACGCTGCACAAACTATCACGAAAACTCTAAACAATGCTTGGCTTGGCGGGAAACTTTTAGATCTCAACAAATCTCCTTGTTCAACAAATATACAAACTTACAAACTGACGAAAGTGATAATGAAAATAAACCGTTTCAACTTAAAATTTCCCGTCACGTACCACCCCAAACAGAAACACAATAAACCAGATAAGGAAGAATATAAGAGTTATATAAAGTTGTTAAAATAAATCTAGGAAATTTAAACCTCAATCGATAAATAAGACAAAAGTTTTTAGATAGTTTACAGGAGATATGTTTGATATGATTTCAACCAAGATAAGTTAGAGGATAAAATAACTCACAAAATTTAAATGATTCAACCCTTTCAGTAGTAATATTATTTAAATGTAAAACTGGATAAACAATATCTGTTCTAATTTTAGAACCAAATAATATAAAACATGTTTTACTTAAATTGATACGTAGAAATTTAAAACAACCCAATAGTAAACAAAATTTAATTCGTAATTAATTACCGAAACAAGTACATTAAAATCCGAATGAGAATAGAGAAGAGTAGTGTCATCAGCAAATAAAATAAATTTTTAAAAGTTAGAAGAGTAAACAAAATCATTAATATAAATATTGAAAAATAAAGGGCTCAAAATAGAACCTTGAGGAACACCAGATTTAATAGGAGACAACGAGGACATAGAACCACCAATAGAAACAAATTGAGAGCGATCATTTAAATATGAAGAAAACCAATTATAAGCTAAACCAATAATACCAAATGAATATAACTTGTACAATAAAATACTGTGATCTAAAGAGTCAAAAGCATTGCAAAGATCTATAAAAACCCCAATAGATTCAAGTGCATGAAAAACAAAATTAATAACGTCTGAAACAGCAAACTCAGTTGACAACTTTTCACGGAAACCATATTGATTTAAACAAATAACATTATGACAATTTACAAATTTATTAAGACGATTTAAGATAATTTTTTCAATTAATTTTGACAAACTAGAAAGAACAGAGATAGGGCGATAATTATTAATAGAATGACGGTCACCAGATTTAGAACAGGAAGATAATGGCAACCCCTCCACCACGTCTAATAACTTTGATAATAACAGCATCACAAGCCTCACCACAAACAGTAATAACAATAACAACAACAATAACAACAACAGCAACAACAACAACAGCCGTATCATTAGAAACCAAATCAACAACAAAATGAATGACAAAAATAAGATAATATTTTACTACAAAAATACCTTTTCAATGGCGTATAAAGAAGATGAAAGAATTTTAAAAGGAATAATACGCAGAAACGTAGTAGCGTCAAATCCAATTAATAAAGTTGTTCTTCGAATTTACTATCAAAATTTAAAAACATTCCAACTAATCATGAAAAATAATTGCCTTCCTGCAACTACTCAACTACAACTAAGTCATCTAATATATGAATATAAATGCTCCGTCGGTGAATGTTCGCACCGCAACAATGCTTCATATATTGGAATGACAACTACCACATTGTCAAGACGTTTGACCATGCATCTACAAGATGGAGCAATTAAACAACATTATCAACAACAGCATAACATCACTTTAACACGACAAATGTTAATTAACACGCAAATAGTTTATTGCAATAACAACATCACAAACCTGAAAATAGCTGAATCAATTTTCATACAAAACAAAAATCTCTCCATGAACATTCAAGTACAGTCTAACAACATTCTACCTTCAAATAGACTACTAAATAAAAACAACAATCATTATAATTATAACAACAACAATTACGACACTAGCAATAATTATAACAATGTTATCACCAACAATATTGATGATGTAAACAACAATCATACCAATAGTGACAACTTTAACAACAACATCAACAACACCAACAACAACATCAACAACAACATCAACAATAACAACAACAATAACAGTGCCAACACTATAGATAATAATGAAACAACCCACAGCGCAAATATCAGTTGCAATTGGAACCTCATCAATAGTGACAACCCTAACAACAACATCAACAACACCAATAACAACATCAACAACAATAGCATCAACAATAACAACAACAACAGAGCAAACGCTGTAGATACCAACGCCACAACCCACAGCACAAATATCACTTGCAAATGGAACATCATCACAAGAAGCAAGAACCACAGCGATGATAATAATAATAATAACGTTAATAATAATGATAATAATAATAAATAAATTAATTCGCGCTTCTCGGCTGAGCGTTGATATTTACCTTAACAACCATAATATAAACAATCTTGCCGTTGAAATTTTTAAAAATCGCGTTTTATATTGTTTATAGTTAATAAATTTATTTTATTGGTTTTCTGTTTTAATTAAATAATTTATATAAATTAATAATTACTTGTTCCTTTATATCAAATATCTTACATACCTTATATATAATGCACTGAAGATGAGTTATTTATAACTCGAAATAGCTATTTGCAAATTTATTTATTTATTTATTTATTTTATTTATTTATTTGAACAAAGCACGGGCTATTGCCCATTACCGAATTTACAGGAAAAAAAAAATACATAGTATTATACATGCATACCACGATACATTCGTACAATTGCTTCACAAGTATAACCACGAAGATAATGCATTATACCATGGCAGATTGAAAATAATTTCCAAAAACAATAAATTAACATTAACAGTGTCTTGAGTGTCACCATAAATGCAAACTTATAAACCAAGATATAATAAAATACTCTATCCATCTAACCCCATTAATCCCATCCTACACCTGAATAGCATAAAATTAACTACACATTTCCCATGCAATAGAAAAAATAAACAAACATTCATGCATCCATCTAATTTCCTTAACCTCCCCTACAACCTCCCTTAAATTTATTTAATAAAAAATTTTTAAAAAACAATAAAATGTCTAATTTCTCTTAAATTAATAAATTAAAAACAAATATAAAAAGTTGAATTATGTTGAAAGTAGTGTTGAATTTTTGAAATGTTGCGTTAACAACAGTCTGTTACCAATATATATATATATATATATATATATATATATATATATATATATATATTATATGATCATTTATATAGCGCCTATTAAAAACATTCTCATAGGCGCTTTACAACTATGACAATTTTCTACAAGGAAAAAAGATATGTCTTCAATTGACTTTTTAACTGGGGAAGTGTCAGACCAAACCGGCGCAAAAAATATGGAAGTTCATTCCAATGCCTTGGTCCATAAACTGCAAAACTACGTGATGCATTCTTTAATTTAGTAACCGGGACCACTAACAAATTTCCCCGATCTGATCGTAGGCCAGTTTTTAAAAAAATCGATGATCTGTCAATCAACATTTCGGACAGATATTGCGGAGCCAATCCGTTTAAGCATCTATAAACCAAAACACAGACTTTAAAAACAATTCTTTTGTTGACCGGCAACCAATGCAATTCCGACAGAAGTGGGCTAATATGTTCAACACGACTGGCACCAACAACAATTCTTGCAGCTCTATTCTGAACCATCTGAAACTTTGCAATCTCATGTTTCGAAACACCATAAAACAAACTATTACAATAGTCCAATCTAGAATGTATGAATGAATGAATGAGAGTAACCATGGTTGATCTGTTCAAACTCTTTTTAATTCGATTCAATTGCCGCAATTGAAATGAACAAGATTTTACCAAAACCTTTATATGTTCACTTATACATAGATTTTTATCTATTCTAAAACCCAAAACTGTAGCCATTTTTCCAAAATCAATAATCATGTCACTTATTTTCACAAAATCAACGTTAATCTTAGAGGTTTGCTGCCAAGTTCCAACTGGTACCAGCTAAATTTTTTCCCGATTCAATTTTATACCATTCAAACCCATCCACCCATCCAGTGCACCCAAACAATCCAACATTCTTTCAATCAAAAAATCAAACTCCCCAGTCGCCGCACTTGCAATTATCTGAACATCATCTGCATAAGCAAAACCCTTTAGAGAAAATTCATCAATGAGATACATAATATCGGCTGTATATAACGTAAAAAGAAGCGGGCCTAAAACAGACCCCTGGGGAACCCCAGACAAAACATCAACTGTATTTGACCAAGAATTATTAAAATAAACCTGCTGGGTATGTATGTATATGTATGTATATGTATATGTATATGTATATATATATATATATATATATATATATATATATATATAATGTTGAATATACATCACATGTATTTCAAATTTGACTGCTATAGACGGCCACACACGCTTCAGAAAATATCACTCAGGAGAAAGTTGGGTGGAGGTGGTGGTGTGTGTGTCATACATCTCATCTCAAATTTACACCGTCTCATCTCATGCTATCAATAATGTAATGGAAACCCTCTATCTCAAATGCATCTGGGAGTGTGTTCCAGAAGTCATTTTTGGCGTCTTCAAATTCACCGGTCTTTGGTGCATATGCAGAACCCTGAGGAACCCCAGACAAAACATCAACTGTATTTGACCAAAAATTATTAAAATAAACCTGTTGGGTACGTTTGCACAAACAAGATTTGAAAAATTCCAAAGCTAAGTCACAGACACCGTAGCTTAAACATAATCGACGTTACAGTGTATCATGATTCACTCAGTCAAATGTGGCATTCATATCAAGTAGAGTCAGAAGAGAGACCTGATTGCGATCAGAAGCCTCAAAAAGTTCCGACAATACCTGTAACAAGGCCGTCTCCGTCGAATGAAAGCGTCTGAAACCAGATTGATTATTCGGCAAAAAGTTATTATCATTTAAATACTTTAGAAATTGTTTATGAACAATTCTTTCTAAAACCTTCGAAATAAAAGTTAAATTCGAGACAGGTTGAAAACTTTTAAGTTCATTCATGTCTAAAGACGCATGCTTCTTTATAGAGGAATAATAATTGCATGCCTATAAACAGCTGGAAATGTGCCTGTTGACAGACACAAATTAATTAATTCCGTAAAATAGGGTAAAAAATAATCTATATATTGTTTAAAAATATTAGCAGACATACAATCAATCACACAAGAGGTTGACGGAGAACAAATTACAGAGGTTCTAACTTCAGACTGCGATACCCGCGAAAATTCACAAAATTTTATGTCAACATTAGACCTACACTTTATAGTAGGCTCTCCAGCTACAGAAATATGGTTTTTTATTCAAATTCAACAAAATCGTTAGCTGTATGGGTCAAAGTACAATTATTTGATGACTCTACATAAAATTTTATTTAAAATTCTCCATAACTTTTTAGGATTATTACCATTTTCATCAACCAATTTTTTCCAATAATTTTCTTTTTTCTCCCTGAAATAGTTGTTTTTTAATCTTAATAATTCAACCCACAATTTTTTGTCCCCCATTCTATAATGTAATCTATATTTTCTTTCTGCCCTTCGACAATCCTGCCCTATCTTACGACACTCACCATCATACTAAGGTGCAGTCGCCACAATTTTTGTTTCAACCATATGAATGGATGCAACAGCATATATATATATATATATATATATATATATATATATATATATATATATATATATATATATATATATATATATATTGGAAGGAGACCATATTTTATACAGCATTGTATGAATTCTAGAGATTTGTTGGCATGTTGGCATTAATCAATTTAAAGTTTGTCTTTTCAATTTTCTTTACTAGTATTTTTTGGAAATAATTCAGTTTATTAATAATAAAATTATTATCCAAGTTCATCATGAAAATTTAATAAAAACTTCCTCATGCAGATAGGCCTTATTTCGATTTTTCTCAAATCATCTTCAGAGCAGGTTTGGTTACTTTAGACAAAGCAAAATTAATTATTCAGCATAGTGATTTGCTTAGTTGGTGTCGTATTCTTCATCTTTGTTGTCTTTTCTTTGTTCTTCATTGTTATTGAAGTTAGTGTTAAGGCTCATTGAAAACATTGAAAAACTCGATAGTTGTAATATTGTAATCATTCTTTGTTGGATGTTTATTCGTCTTTGTGTATGCATTGTGAGACATCTTGATTTGAAGTGGTGGTAACACCAAGTTACGAATGTTTTTGACCCAATTGTTGTTCGCGAATGTTTATTATTATTATTATTATAGTACATGTTGTAGGCAAGAGCGTTGACCAGCTATGTTCAACTCGCTGTTTCTTGCACATAACTTGATTATTTGATCATTTAATTAGTTTTAAAACTGGTTCATTAGTTTTGTAAAATTACAAAAAATATGACGATATTTTTAAAAACTAAAATTTACATAGTTTTACATTTAAATTTAGTTTTTTAATTAACGGCATTTACAGTACTAATAAATGTCTTTATAGCATTAAAAGTTTATCAACGTAGGTCGACATTCTTGGCGTTGTACTATGAATACAGGTAACTCTAATAATAACAACGTTGTTCGCTCTACTGTCAAATCTAACGTTAAAATCTCAGCAAATATTTACAACTCTAATTCTGTTGATACTGGTGCAATTGACATTGAAAAGAATAATAACTTAATATCGTGTTGCTGCGGTAAACGTTGTAAGACGAGGAAAGGCTAAATTATGCATCAAAGGTCATGCAAAATGCATAAAACGTTGCAACTCCCGAAAGAAACCTCAGTAAACGAAGGTAACACAATGCTACTGCCTGACAGCCAAACCACATCAACAAACCACCAACAATCACTGCCATCACCAACCGTTGCGACGACCGTGTCAACACTACCTGGTGTCAAACTACCCAAATCGCCTGCCCAGTGGCTGGAGGCCAACACATACTTTCAATCCACAATCTATCGCTACTTTGCCCAGAATTATGGCACCATCAAATACAAATCACAAACTGGTCTACCTGCTGACACAAACAAATCGGTCAAGGAACTAAAAAAAGAGCTAAAGCAACTAAAAATTTTAGGCCAACACAACCACAACTTTGACAACTAGATCATCAACAGCAGTAAGACGCTTCGTTCTAAACTACTGTCAATAAAACTTTCTAAACATAAAGAAAAAAAAATCTACAATCACCACTCAACTAAAACAACGATTCTGGTGGGCATGCAAAAAAATATTTGCAACAACAAAAATATGACACCATTATTCAGCTCGCTGGATTGTGAAAAATATTTTTTCAATATTCTAAACAACATCAACAACAAGAAATATCAACTCTCTAATTGGGCACAAAACGCACCAGCGCCCACAACGCCCTGCAATGTCAATCTTCCTACCTACCACGAAATATCTACAACAATACAATAATCCGTAAATACAAATCAAAATCATCACCATGCCCGCTAGACCAGATCTCAATTATTCTTTTTAAAAGATGTCCTATATTGCGCGCCTTTCTCCACAAATTGTTTACGCAATGTTGGTTGTCCTCTAGAATCCCATCGTGCTGGAAAAAAGGTTTTACATTGCTTATACACAAAAAAGGCGACGCACATGATGCGGCCAACTTTCGACCCATAACACTTCAACCTTCATCTATAAAATATTTTCATCTTGCATTAACAACAAAATGTACAACTTTATAGAATCAAACAACCTCATCATTAAAAACATCCAAAAAGGTTTTTATCTGAAGATGGATGGACTGACCGAACATACCCAGCTTTTATCACATAGGATCAATGACGCTGAAAGACATCAAAGAACAATAATTGTCATTTTATTGGATCTTAAAAACGCTTTCGGCGAGTTTAGCCACGACCTAATCTCATCCACCTTAGATCATCATCATATACCGCCAATGATCGCTGATTTAATAAAATTCACATACGCCGACTACACCATATCAGTTTCGGGTTGCGAGCAACTTACACCTCCTATCCGGGTCAAACGTGGCGTGCTCCAAGGGGACCCCCTTTCGTCTCTGCTGTTCAATTTTTGCTGCAACCCCTTCATGAAAATACTGGAAAAGCCTAAATATCAACAATGCGGCTGCATTTGGGGACCTACAGCCAACTTGAAAACGAGAGCATGGATGCAGTTTGCCGATGATACGGCAATTATTGCTATGCAAATAAGATTAGATAAATGCTCATCATAAGGAAAAAAATGGTGTTTACGAACAGTTTCTTCCAAAGCTGACCATAGACAATGGAACTATTCCTCAAGTCAAAGTGGGGTGTACTTCATATACCTGGGAAAAATCTAAGACTTTGAATGAAAAGACACAGAAGCCAAAAAAATGCTAATCGGTAAATTGAAAGCTTGTTGTCGGTGATCGGCGAACTGGATATGTCAGCCCAGTGGAAGCTCAAAATCTTAAGACGATACATACCATCACAACTGGCTTTTGAACTTAGGACATACGATGTCTCATTGACCTGGATTGGCAGCTGCCTTGACCAATTGGTGGTAGAGGCAGTGAGAATGTGGCTGTCATTGCCAATTAGTAGCTTAACACTTCCCATCAAACTGGGTGGATTAAACGTTAGATCTCTCAAACATTACAACTATCAAACTTCGCAACTATTTAAAAGCCAATGGAAATGAAGAGCTAAAACGCCTGTGGAGCGAATCGTTCAGCAACTTCATTAAAATCGATAATATGCTTCCTGACGCCAATGACATCAAACCAACGCTTAAAGTAATAAAAGAACAGCAACAAACCGCAGCTTTGAATCATCTGACATCTCTTCAAGTTCTGTTTAAATTTGTCAGGAAAAGTTTAATCCAACAACTTCCGATAAACGCCAACCTTCAAAGATGGGCAAAATCATCCATTGCACAATGTCCCTATGCAGTGCTTGCCAAACAATCAAGCATGTTTTATCGAATTGCCGCGCGGCTTCGGCGCTGAAGCGATTTACAACACTTCACAACAAAATTCTTTCAATAATATTAGGTTTAAATCATGCGCAGGTCCTGATGTCTCCATATATGCAGACGCGGATCAATATAAATATCAGCCACTATCCTGCCTCTTCAAGACGCTATGTCCCGACATCGCACTACTTTGCGATAGCAACATTGGAATCCTGGAGCTCACGGTTTGCCATGAAACAAACTTTCTGAAATCAAAGGACTATAAAATGGCGAAGTACTCCCATAATTTGCAAAATAATTTGACCGATAGTTATAAACACTCTAAGTTATAATTAATACATTTGAAATATCCCCTTTAGGTTGTTTTAATACTTTTGATTTGTCTCTCATTAATTTAATATGGACTGATGATTTTATCAACAACCTTATTAATGCAGCAATTTCGTCGTCATATAGTAATTACTGTGATAGAAATGCAAATTTGCTCTCGTGGTACACATTTTTTTTATAAGATGACGAGCTTCGGAGATTATCTCATAACATTTTACTATATATATATATATTTTTAATTTTAATTATTATTGATAATTATTGTTTCTTTCATTTTATGTATGTTTTTACGATAATAATAAAAAGGTGTTCTCATTATTGTTTTTTTATTATTATTGTCTTTATTATTATTATTATTGTTATTATTATTATTATTATTATTATTATTATCGTCATCTTATGCTTTGTACTGCGATAGAAACAATGCGTGAACAAACTGTTACCAATTTTTATACAAGCTATCATCATGGCACTTATTTCAGGATAACGAGCGTTGATGACTATTCATATTATTTTATCATTTTAATTATATTTAACTAATTTTAACATTTTATTGACATTTTTTATTTTGATTTTTTTTGATTTTACTGATTTTATTATTATTATTATTATTTTTATTATTATTATTATCATTATTACTATTATCTTGCAACTTAACAAGAGAGTCATGTTTTACATAGCTCACTGTTTTAATTGTAATAATAAGGTTTTATTGAATGTAGCATGTAATTGTAGGAAAAATCTCAAGCAATATATTTTATTCGATATTTTATACAATACTTTAAAATATATATTTCTTTTTTAATTTATGCAAATAATTCATATAAATATAGCGAAATGCCCGTATTACTCTAAAGATTTTCATTGTGTAAATAAACACTCCTGGCGTTGTACATATAGAACGTTACCTGCAACTAGTAATCTAAATAACAATCATTCTAATACAAGTTCTGAAAATATCATTTTAACTAACAATAATTTGGCTAATATCTCAAATAATAATTTTAACAATAACAACAATTCTGATAATAATTTTTTGATGATTAAATTTGAAAATACAAGTTCGCTAAATAACATTTTGATTAATAACAATTTGGATACTATCTCGACTAATGTTTTAAATAATAACATTCTCGACAAAAATTTTCGTTAATTATGTTGCCTTGCTGTCGCGGTAGACATTTTTGAGGTCGAAAAAGACTTATTATGCACCACAGGTCTTGCAAAATGTTCCATTCTCGACAAACAGTCAATTCCGTTGACAACTACAACAAGACAGTCAACGAACCTCGAACATTTCAACACAAATCTACCTTAACAGTGACATCATCATATCATCTCCCAAGCGTTAAACTACCCAAAACTCAACAACAGTGGACAGAAGCTAATGCGTACTTTCATCATAAACTAAATTTTCTCAACAATCTTGACGACATTGACAGTTACACACAACAGCTACAACAAACAGGATATCAATACTTCGCCGACACGTATGGCACTATAAAACCTAATAGTTCATCAACTGTCATTACTAGCATCAAGCAACTAAAAAATAAACTCAAAATCTAAAAATTCTCGGTCACAACAACAACAACAAATACAACACTGAGATAAGCGATGTCAGTAAACTAATTAGATTAACACTTCGCAGAGCAAAGCGGGTGAAAGCGATACCCACCCGGCTGGCAAAGAATTTCCGGCAAACATGCAAAAAAAATGTTCTCGCCAACTACATCGCTACCTTCACTGTTCGACACTGAAAAAGGTAGTAATCATTTTGGTAGCAATATGAAGTCGGACGATAAGGAACAGTTTGTCATACTTGAGTGGATTCCTCCCCAAGCTCCGAACTTTAAAGGCAAAGTTGACCCGCCAACCTACGAGGAGATTACAGCAATCATTCGTTGAATCAAATCCAGAACTTCTCCATGCCCGCTGGATCAGATATCAATCATAATGTTCAAGAGATGCCCTATTCTCAGAACTTATCTTCACAAATTACTGTTAAAATGTTGGGCCTCGTATACTATTTCAAGCTGCTGGAGAACGGGTCTTACCATCTTAATCTATAAAAAATGCGATGCCAGCGACCCGGTAAATTTTAGGCCTATTACGCTGCAACCCGTTTTATACAAAGTTCTAGTTACATTAATAAAAAAAAGATTAAGCCTACATCATTTTCTTCAACAAAATAAATTCGTTAATACAAACATCCAAAAAGTATTCTACCCAAAAAGGTGATGGCCTGGTGGAGCACACTCAGATGCTAACCCGCCTATTAAAAGATGCCAAGACACACCAGCGGACAATCATAGTAGCTCTGCTGGACCTAAAAAATGCATTCGATGAGGTAAGTCATTTTCTCATCAACTCTATATTATTCTTTCATCACGTACCCTAACAATTCAAATCAATTATAATGTCAATATACTCGGATTATTCAATATTTGTTTCCATCAACAACAAATTAACGTCAGCACTACCGGTCGAGAAAGGTGTCCTCCAGGGTGATCCGTGCTTTTCGTTACCCTTTAATCTGTTTCAATCCGTTGATGAAAACCCTTAAAACCCAAGAGTACAATAGTTGCGGTTATTTTTGGGGCCCAAAATCCGAGCTAAAAACCAAATCCTGGCTTCAATTTTCCGACGACTCAGCGATTATTGCCCACAGTTCGCGCGTTATACAATAATTTCAACTTGACTTCATTTAAATTTTCATAGCTAATTAATTTTAATTTTAAATTAATAACCATTGCTCTTAGCTTGTCTTATTCAATATACTGTGAAAGAAACAATGTGTAATGGTATTCAAATATACCTCTAACGCACATACACTTGGCATCGACAATGAGTATGAGCGGATTACAAAATTGATTATATTATAATAATATTTTATTTTATTTCATTTATTTTATTTTATTAAAAAAAACATTTATTAAAATTTATTCGATTATTTCGATTTTATGTTATTTTTCTTTTTCGTCTTCAGGATAATAAAAGAATTTACATTATTATTATTATTATTATTATTATTATTATTATTATTATTATTATTATTATTATTATTATTATTATTATTATTATTGTTTCAACAAAACTCAAAAAAATTTCTGGAAAACATGTAACAATATTTTTAACAACTCGAACTCTCAATCGCCACTCTTCAATATCGAAACCGCCACCAACTTTTTTAAAAGTCTATTCAACGTAGGCGACCGCACCACATTTCGTCTTCCAGATTGGATTCCTCCCCATCCCGCTCCTTCATTTCAAAAAAATTTTAAATCCGCCAACTTACACCGAAATTGTCAGGAAAAGCAAGACGAAGGCATCTCCTTGTCTACTGAACCAAATTTCAATCATAACTTTCAAAAGATACCCAATATTAAAAATATATCTTCACAAATATTTGTTTTAATCCTCTCATGAAAATCTTGGACAGCAATGAGTATAAACAATATGGCTATCTCTGGGGCCCAGCTATTGACATAAATACTAAGTTTATTTCTTCCATCATCGTGATGAAGAGCGAGGGCTGATAGACGCCGACGTTAATATCAAATTCATTTGTGTTACCGGCTGTTGTGCTGATCAGCTTTTGTGTTAGAGTACGTTGCCATAATCAGCCAAACCAGATATTTGGGAACAAGCTGTTTACGTAAACTCCACCTGATTACCTCATGAGGCACTCTGTCAAAAGCCTTTTCTAAGCCTACAAAGAACTGGAACAGTCGCTTTTGCTTTGCCATGTATTTTTTCTGTAGTTGACAAACGATATAGATACCATCAACGGTGTATCTTCCTGCCATGAAGCCGTACTGGTAACCACCTATAAAAACGCACGACAAAAGTCTTTTCTCAATGACTTTTTTAATAACTTTTTGGGGATGTTCTAGAAGACGTATACCTCGATATGAGGAGCATTTCAGTAGATCTCCTTTTCCTTTATATACCGGCACAGTTGTGCTACTGTTCCATTCTACTGGTAGTATCGATTTACTCAACAACTCCCGACAGATGTGTAAGAGGGTTCTAAAGTCTGCCCCACCAGATGCCTTGATAATATCATTTGTAAGTCCAGACGGACCAGCCGCTTTACCAACCTTCATTGCCATCAACGCATCCGTAAGCTCCTCAGCTGTGATGCCCTGAATCGGTTCTTCCACCGAAAGTGCATCAAAGTCCACCCCAATAGGGTTTGTTTCATTCAATTACTGATCAAAATAATTTTTGCAGTGATTTTTCACTTTTTTCTGAAAGGTTATTATGGTGCCTTTATTATTCTTTATGCATGTGGCACCAACTATACTCTTTTTCAGTCGTTTGGCCTGATTTGCTATTTGGTAGAGTAGCCGATTTTGTTCGCTTTTATTTCCAGACAGCCATACCTTGCATTGATTTTCACAAGCTATCGCAACCTGACATTTCGCTTCTGTGTTTTGTGTTCTTTGATCGACATATCTTTCGATCTTCATCTGTCTCCGCCTTTTGCCATTGTTTGAAAGCTGCTTTTTTACTGTCTCGTTTCACCACCAAGTTCCGCGGTTGTGCATGCGTTTTGGTCTAGATTTTTTACATACAGCTGTTGCAGCGTTTACTACGGTCCTGAAAAGATTTCCATGTTATGTCTACCTTTCCCAGACGATCCAGCTGCGCCGATACCAACTCCTCAAATTTCTCCCTGAACATGAGGTTCATATCGGTCACCAGCAATCGATGTTGAGAGCTGCATCCCGTTTTTATATGTAATCAAATGTTTTGCCATCTTCTTGAAATGGGTGTTCAGTAGGGAAAGTTCATGGCTTTCAGCAAATTCCAGAATCCGTACACCGTCTTCGTTTTGAAGTCTTTTTGAAATAGGTGTTCAGCAGGGAAAGTTCATGGTTTTCAGCAAATTCCAGAATCCGTACACCGTCTTCGTTTTGATACTCGTAACCAAAGCCTCAATGGACACCGTAGAATCCATTTGCTTTCTCTCCAGCGTGGCAATCAATGGTATCTCTGATGATGGTGTTTTCTTGTCAGCATCTGAGAGTGTGTTCCAGAAGTCATTTTTGTCGTCTTCAGATTCACCGGTCTGTGTTGCATATGCAGAGAAAACAGTCAGAACTTGTTTTCCCATTCTGAGTTTAATCAGCATTAGACGTGAGCAGATTTGAACTACCTCCAGTAAATTTTGTGATTTACATATATCAAATCTTTGATTATAATCTATTTATTAATGTTAATATTGTCTCATTGCAAATTGTTATCTTTTCGTATTATGTGCTTATCTAATTTTGTCGATTAACATTTTCACCGAGTTACCATCGTCATTTACCCTACCCATTAATTGTAACTATCAAACTATTTTTTTTATTACACCCACAATATTGTTTGTTACATGTTTAAAATTGTCATATCAAATTCTATTGTAATCTTATAGTCATTAAGTATTTATATTCTATATCATTATTTGTATTATTATGCGATGATAACTGCTTGTTAATATGTTGTATTTTAGATTTAATTCATTGACGTTCGTTTATTCTTTTGGAATTTATTCTTCCTTTTTCTTGACTAGATAAGTGGACTGGTCAGTTTGTCAATAAATAAATAAAATAAATGAATAAATATATGTGTACGTGGGTATATATGTTGGTATATATTTGCGTACCTACAATATCTATACTAATTTTCGATTAACATACATACATACATTCAATAATCCTGTTACTATAAAAAATGTATTATTTTCATTTGCTCACTTGTAATAACAATATCAACTTTCAATAATTTTATCTAACAATTTATTTCATTTATTGTCTGGTTGCTTTCAAAATTTTATTATACTTTAATTTTAATTCTATAATAGTTATATTTAACGTCTCGTTATTTTGTTATTACTACAAGGTAATGAGTTAATAAGTAATGTTAAGTTACTCCTGAAAAAATTAATTAACGCAAAATGGGCAACTATATTTAATGATGTGTGTGTGTGTTTGTGTAGCAAAACCATAATTGAAGCGATATTTGATGATAAAATCTACTGACTCCAACTCCAACTACTGACTCCCACTCCAACTACTGACTCCGAATCGGGGTACCCTAATCCCGGACAGATTTTTAAATTGTTGCTTCATTATTTTATTTAAATATCACGACTATTTCAATAAGCATTTAAATTCAGTTGATGTAACTGTTTTCCTTAGTAAATTTTTTTATATATTTATGTTTTACAATACACAGAAAAATAGTTAGGTGCTTTTATTTATTCACATTGAGCACTGATTATTGTTTCTGGATGTATTGTTAATGTACAAATTGTATGGCTGCGTCGCTAAGATGCAAATTTAATAGTTGATTCATTCCGTAACAGTACTTAAAAGAAAAGCTTTTTCAAATTTGTAATACTATCTTAACACTTTAATTCTTAAGCTCGGCCTTTCGAGAAATTCCGACCCGTACTCTGGTTATAGTAAACATCTTTGTGCTATTTTTATGAAAGTTGAAATGTAATGATGCCGCGGGAAAATTTTTGAACATTGCAAAAATTGTTTTATATGTCTTGAAAGAATTATTTAAAACAACTTAAAAATTGAAAACAAATGTAAATAGAACAAATAAAGTAAATGAAAATATGTATAAAAAATTATATATATTGATGTTGTTTGGTGAAAACAATAATTATTAGAATATTAAACAAATTTACCTTTTTATTTTTAAAACAATAAAAATAAAACAAATAAACAATAAGAATTTAGTTTGATAAAATAATTTAAAGTTGAAAATGTAAAATTAATTTTTAAACAACCTGATATATCGAATTTTTAGAACGAATGACACACAACATACCCAACTTCATGCTTGAATGAATTTTTTCGTTTGTCACATGATGCTGTGAGAAAGTACAACATTCTTCGTCACGAATTCTCATCAACTTTTGAATCGATGGCTATTTATTAATGCTCCAGACAGTTCTGAATAATATATCTATTTTGAGCAAATGAAAACAATTAAACAATAAACTAATTTCAATATATTCAAGTAAATTACTTAGTTACATTCAATTGCGAATGCGATAAATAACTGAACGTTCAAATACGCAAAAATAATAACACATTCAAGTGAACAATTTAACGTAAAGGAAAATTGTTAAACTCGAAACAGACAGAAAATTATCAACCATTCAAATAATCTAAATAATTCTTTCAAATGCACACTGTCCTCCCCGCCCCTCCCTCCTTGATCCGCCACTGGACGCACATACAAATAAACAACAACCAAACTTCATCACCCCCATTATCACATATCCACAACAAAATTATTTCAAACAAAACTCAATAATTCAATTAGTGAAAACTTTTATCGAAATTCACTATGGATGAATTATTAATTCTTATTTATCTTACTTACCTTAGATAAGGAAAAACAAAAACGCATGAAAAATATTGCAACACTAAATAATTAAAAAAAACAACAGCAAACTATATACTTTAATCGGAATTTGTCGCCGACGTAGCAAATTTTTACAATAGTCTCGGGCATGACATACATAGCATAACAAGTAGACAAAAAAATATTATCAATATTTATCATCAATATGTAGTGCAATAAATAAATAAGTAAAATTTAACACAAAGTTTTGATACAATCGCTGTAAATGACTAATTTATCAAAAATTCAGACATTTTTTCTTTAAAAACTAAGCGAATACAACCCTCATTCAACGACTGTATTAATCAATGATTATTAGTTTGAATGACTTTTTGATAACTATTCTTTTGTTAATTTGCTGAAATTTTATTGTTAACTGTATCAAAGCTAAAAACTCTCTAAAATAAAAGTCAGAGAAAATGATAGGGTGATATGCGTAAAATATGGTACCTCTTGTCCAATAAAATTTTTCAAAAAACGTTTTTGTTGAAAAGTGTGTTTAATTAATTTAGTGAAGACGGTAGCAATAAAAATGAATATTTTCAAGTTTTTGACGTTTAAATCTGAATGAATTGAATTTCCTCAGAAATCTACATCTCAACCCATCAAAAGCTTTTTAATTTACTGTGGCAATTTTGGTTTGTTTTTTTTCAAAATTATCAATCATTTCTCTGAAACTATAAGTTCAATTTTCTCATTTTTTTGAAAAATGTAAATGGTTTCTACTCAAAAAACTGATAAAATGTTTACTTTTCGTCACTTGATCGAGTATAAAATCCGTTGACAAAAGTCAAATAGATTGAATACTTTGACGTTTTAATTGCGTTGTAATAAAATAATCATGATTTATTGAAACCTAATTTCAGTTAGACAGTCAGAGTTGGATGAACGATTTTTGCTGTGATTTGTGGTGCTTGTAAAATTTTTATCAGCCCCCATTTCAAACGCATTAATTTTTTCTGATTTAAATTTCAGGCAAACAATGCATAGCAACGGTGAAAACCCGTTTTAAAAATGAATAGATCAATAACTAAAGATGCTGTACAAACAATTTTGTCTGTTGTTTTCCAATATTACTGAAGCTTGTTATTGAAACAATGTTAATTTTTTGTATTAAAGTTTCATTACTTACATAAACGGCCATAACTATGGCTCCTTTCACTTTCGTAAGTTTAAAAAAACTTGAGTTAATAAAGAAAGATATACAAAAAAACGCTTTATATAACTAAAAAACGAGAAATTTATTGAAAAAACTAGTGTCGGTGCAGTCGATCGGAGTTGGAAATTTTTGCTGGAGTTAGAATTTTTTGAGTAAGATACTTTCTTCTGACTCCTGAAAATGTTATGAGTTTTAAAAAAACATTTTTTTTATTCTGAAATTTTTTTAAGATCGTGTTTTTTAAAATATGAATATGCAATCACCTTTAATGATAAAATACATTTGATAATGTGAATAAAATTACATAATTTTTCACCAGTATGTTATAAAACATAAATATAACGTAATTTTACTATGAAGAGCAATCACATTGAATGTTTTAAAGTTTTTATCAAAGTATTTTTATTTAGTAATGATAATAAAGTAAAATTATGATGCAAAGATTGAAAAATTTTCTAGGAGTCGGAAGTTGAAGCTTGAATGTTTTACCCGATGTCGTCTTTTTTTGAGGAGCTAAAGTTGGATGTCAACACTCTGGAAGAAACAAATATAGAATAACATAAATGTAATAATAAATGGGCGAAGACCAAAAGTCACCATACCCATATCAAAGAGAAATTTAACTAAATGTGTATTACGGTCTTTACACCAAGTTAAATAATATTAAAATAATTGAATAAAAATGTTAAAATTCAAAATATTTCCCATCTTCATAACCTTTCTTCAATCGACAATGTTGTTGCTGCCGTTGAATCACCATTCTTTTATCCTGACGTTCCGGTAACGAATCTTTATTTTTTATTACATCCGAGTTTTTGGCATCAACGCATATCCTAAATAAGATTGACTCCTTTCAGGGAACGTGCCAAACATTACCAGCACCTTCCTGAATAAGGGAAAGCACAAAATTGTTTTTATGCTTATAGACTCCAGATGTCTAATAATGACCGATGCATTACATTTCTTTACGTTTGATACATGATAAATTCTTTTGTTCTGGCTTACCGTTATTTAGAGTTACTATATAGCCGAAACCCGATGATAGCATCATCTGCAGCAACTCTTTCAGTGGCATTGGGCAATAAACGTTTAGAACGGTTTTTTAACTAGGCTAAAGCCGTCTTTTTTTGTTGAATGTCGCACTGACAATGAGCTTCTTCATTTGCTGCTGCCGTTGAATCACCATTCTGTGTTAACATTAGATTCACTTTATTATCCCTTGGAGATTTTTACCTCTTCGTCTCGTTATTAGCTTGCACCATTGGTGCAAAGTTCGCTTTTAGTTTGTTTTCAAATGCTTGAAAATTTCCAATAACTTGTACAGCGATTTACCATGAAATTCCAACGCTTTTTCTATGCTTGAAGCCGGGGCTTCTTTTTTGATTTCTGATTCCAAATAATAAATTATTTGGCAAACCAGAAGACCAGCACTGAGTTTATCCGGCAATATTTAATTATAGTTATCAGTTTAAACTAAAGAGACACATGAGCTCCTCCCACGCATATTAGCCAACCGTCCAGAATTGGGTGAGACTTTACCTCCTATT